ATCTGCCTGTTCTGCTCCCCACTCTGTCTCTGGTGAAGCCTCTCGCCGCCCCTGAGCCTCTGGTCTGTACCCCAGTTCTGTATGCACAAATAAATAAATGTTTAAAAAAAAAATAGTACGAACATGTTTTAACTTGTTGGCAAACATTTTCACAGTATGGCCCACATCTAGCTCATTTACTCTTTTCCTAAAACCCTCAGTCAATTTCCCATCACTTTCAGTACTTAAAAGTTCCTCAAATTATCAAAGTGTTTACCTGTTACCTCTGCACTAGTCATGGCTGAATTAATATTGTTTTCCCAACAAAAGAAAATAGAACTTAAAGGACACTTTGAAAAAGTATAACCTTTTGTTTATAACAATTTAGGATAGAAAATATTTGGTGGGTGGGGGACTACTGATCCTCGAAAAGTGGTATTAAAATCCATGAGACAATCAAGCATGATAAAGAATTAACTGCCCCCCCTCAAGATCTTAGAAGATGCCACTGGATATTAAGGTAAAAAGTTGGTTCATCTTAATCTAGAACTTTAATTACATAACATTTCATGTTTTAGTGTAGAGTGAATTTGTTAGAACTGTAACTATGATGTAAATCAGAGATTCTGCTGTTCAGAATTTTGCCCAAAAATGCTCACAATTTGAGAAAAATCAATTTGTTGGTGACAATGGCCTTCATGGTATTTGAATGGTCAGTATAATACATCTGAAATCAATCTGCTACTATATTCACTGTGGTTGTCTATATTAGTGCAATAAGTCAGCAATCAATTACTTCATACGTCTTCTAATGTAGGCAAGAGCCTAAGCAGTATATATTTAATAGTATGCTATTCTCTAAGAAAATGTTTATTTTATTCCTCTATTCAATGAAAGCATTCCACTGGGATTTTTAAAAATTATGTCAATGGGTGGATTTAACTACCTATAACTCTCATTTCAGGATATTACTGACTTAACAAACTATTTGTTACCAGAGGTCAGTGGCCTGAAGAGTGTGGGACTAGCTTACACTTAATACCTCATGTACCTGTGCTAATAAACAATTTAACCTGTATTCTATACATTTGCTCTTCCAAACAAAAATATCTATAGAAGTAAATAAAAATAACCAATAATTACTTTTATTTCAAAAAAAAAAAGTTCCCAAATGCTTGGCAAGTGAGTCCAGTACTGAGATTTTTGTGACTTCCATAAACAGACTCCTTCCTAACCTAGTATCTTATCATGCCCATATTCCATTCAGAAAACCTTTCAAAGTAGTCAGCAAGTCAGTGGGAAAAGAGCAGGATTTAGAATCATAGTCTGCCACTTACTTTGGAGAATGTGCCTGGACATTACTTAGCACTTTCTGAGTTTTTCCATTTCTTAAATGAAAATTCAAAAAGACCTTCCTCACAAAATTGTGGGAGCCAAAGTTTGTATGAATTGAAGTGCGCTACAGACCTTTTTGTTTTGCTCGCTTAGGAATCCCAAGGCCCTTCAATGGCACCTGGCACATAGCAGTTCTCAAGAAATGTCTGTAGAACGAAAACACTGGCTTTTTGAACCCTACCCAGCTGTTTGTTCCAGAAGTGTATCAGATAGGGTGCCCGCAAACTGCATGCTCCCTGGAAGTAAATATCTAGTTTCTGCTCTCAAGAAACTAAGAAAAACACTGGAGAATGACAGGTCAACATAAAATGTCACTAGGCAGTATATGACTAGTAAAACAATGATATGGACAATAAATGTTGTTATCTAAAAGCATGATATATTACTATAAGCTGAAGTAGCATGGAATGTGGAGTGATAAAGGGCTCAATCTCACGTTTCCAGATTTTATCCACATAATCCATTTTTCTTATATATATATATAGCCAGAGAAAAACCATACAATAGCCCAAGCTGTCACTCTTCTACTTAAAACACATTAAAATGGTATCACCCAACTGTTTCACAATATCCCAACTCTTTCACCTAGATTACCAGAGGCTTGTTTTTTTTTTTTTTTTTTTTTTTTTTCTACTCCCCTTCTCCCCCTTCATCTGAGGACTGCACTGACCAGTAAGGCAGGCGCTGACAACATGCGTCTACTGAGCACTTGACATGTGGCTAGTCCACACTGAAGTGTCCTGTCAACATGAAATACCATGTTTCCAAGACTTAGTATAAAAGGTATAAAATAGCTCATTAACTTTTACATCAACTACATACTGAAACACTGTGGGTGTGCTGTGTTAAACAATATATTACTTACAGACAAAATTAAGGACACTTAACTTCTCTTCTTCTTTTTTTTTAATGTCACTACCTTAAAAATCATGTGGCTGGTAACCAAAAATAAATAAATAAATAAACACATGCCTTTTGCAGCAACTTGGATGGAGCTGGAAAAGATCATGCTTAATGAAATAAGCCAGAAAGAAATGGAAAAATACTGAATGGTTTCACTTATAGCAGAAATATAACGGAAGAGGCAAGAAAATAATAATAACGACGAACAATTATATATCAAGAGACATTTTATGGGTGTGGAGTGGGGAATGAGATCAAAAACAGTGGAGGGAGGGAAATGCACTGGACTTTGGTGATGGTGCATGAGTGATTTGGTGATGGGAAGCCCAAGGGGGTTACAACTGAGATGGAAAAATGCACAAAATGATGAAAAGAAATAAATTACTGAAAAGGGGGGGGTTTTTTAAAAGGTTTCAAACTTAAAAAAAAAAAAAAAAAAAAAAATCATGTGGCTGGCGTTTTCTGTTGGATACTTTCTTCCCGGTTCAACAAATCAGTCTAAATAAATTACTTGCTGTTTCCAAAGGGCCCAGTTTGTCACCCAGCCTGTACTACTGGTGCCTCAAACATTTTGCCCTCCCCTTTTGATTAACCGCTGCTCATCCTTCAGACCGAAGTTTTTAACCATCGCTTTCGCTTAAAGGCGTCCCCTGCGCTCACCCCCAACTCCCGCCAAGACCGGAGTGGGGTCTGCTCCTATCAGGCAGAACATACAGTTTATCCGACGGTTTCTGCAATCGCCCGTTTTCTGATCTGTCTCTGACAAGACTGGAAGCCCCCTGAGGAACAGACTTTCCGAACACGCCTGGTCATAAACGCCTGGCCAGGGACGACGTTCCGCGGAACGAGTGAACCGTGGGAGAAAGATGGTGAATGACCGCCAAGGGTGCCCAGGTACAGAGGCGCGAAGCAGGGACTAACAGGGCATTCCGGGAGGTCGAGGCAGTTAGGAGCCCACGAGATGAGGAAGCGGCCGGCAGGACTCACCAGACCATGGTCAATGTCTGCGTCAGGTCTTTTGGTCGAGGGCGGCGAGTATTCAGCGTAGCGCAGCCCGTCGGTGGTGGGAGCGACGCCACCACGGGCCGCCATGGCAAAGCGGCCCAGGAAGACGCGGAGCTCCGCGGCGTCGCCTACGAGTCGGCCGCTGGGACAAACTAGAGAGGGCGGGTTCATTCGCGGACTTCGGCGTAGGCTTCCAAATTGCTGGCCCAGGAAGGCGGGGCTCCAGGTGATCGTGTTCTCTTTGGGGCTGAGATCTACTTAGGCGTTAAAGTCACGGGTGGGTCAGAATTCAAGCCAAGGCCCCGGAGTGGCGGAGGGGTTTTTGTACGTTTCATATTCGAAGACCCATGGCCAACAGTGGGTCTCCTGGGTCACTGGGTCATGGGACAAAAACCTGTGGTGGTTCAAGGGCTAAATTACCTGGGGACACCTGCTTCACATCTACAACTCATAGTGGGTTTTAATGCCACAATTCTTCTACTAGCAGAAGAGAGAATTTGCTTACTTCCCCCTCTCAAACAAATGGCTCTGCATATTTCAGATGAAATTACAAAGAAGCTTCTAAATTAGTAAATAAATCTGACTCCCCATAAATGGTGTTCTGTTGGTTTGGGTATGGAAAGACACATTTTAACAATTTTTAAACCTTGCCCTTTTGGGAACAGAACCAACAAATGAAGCCAACTTGGCAGCTGTATTTCCCCTTTATACTCTTTGCAAAAGCAGCATGTAAGAAGAAGGCTCTTTTTTCCTTTGCTATATCAAAATTTTGAAGGTCTGTTGACATTATTTTAAAATGCCTTAAGTAGTTAGGTTCTGAAGGAAGCTACAATTTAATAGGGAAGCTGTCATTGAGGCAGAACGATAATAATAATGCCAGAACACGAGCACATGCCTTTAACAGCAGTGTTGAGAAAAGTGGACAAGGAGTACTTACATTCTTTTTTTGTTTTTTTTCTCCAAAATATGTCTTCTAGTATTTCCATAAATCTATTCAAGTCTTGCCCATTTATGGAAGGAAAGTAACATTTATCCATTTATCAGGGAAGCTTAAGATTATTATTTTTTTTTTTTTTAAAGAAAGTATATAGAAGCAGCTTAGAGGAACAGAGTTCAAGAAAAGGGTTTGAGAAAAAAGAACCCACAGGGCCAAGGAAGTGGATAGCAAGGAGGAGGAAAGGTGGGTTCGGCAGGTTTGGGTCTCAGTTCAAACCCCAATCTATTAAGATTAGTTCCCCGATTGCTTGTATACTTGACCCCCAAGTATACTATTGCCACAGGCATCTACTCCTACTTCAATAGCCAGTTTAAAAATCTTCTATAAAAACTAATCATTTTTCAGCATTTTGTTCTTTGCTAAAGTCCCTTCAGCAGCAAAGAAAGAATGCAAATGAGCAATTTAGTTTCTCCCTGACTTATCTAAACACACTTCTCTGGCTTCCTTGAGAATAAAGAAAGTGTTTTTTTGTGAAATCCAAAAGGAAAGCCACATTAAATTTTCATCAGCCTATTTTTATCAGTTATGACGCCTCATAATACTGATTATATTATGTTCAATAGACTTTGTAAAAGAAAAGCAGACACTGGTAATACATCTGAGAAACATCTCAGTAAAAAATTAAATTTTAAATATTTGTTGTTTAAAAAGATTCTTGCCAAAAACAATCAACCTACATATGCCCCAATTTTCTCACCAGTAAAGTAGGGGGTAATAATAGCACCTCCTTTTTGAGGATGACATGACTTGACTTCTGCAAAGTTCTCACAGCAGTGCTTGATATTGCTTGATAATGTGGAATAAATCTGCCACTTCCAATAGATATGTCTCTTTGGCATAATTTTTATTTCATAGGAAGGACGGTGAAGGCCAGATAGAGGTCACTGTTTTGAGAGATATTTACATATATATAAATAAAAATCTCCCTTTGTAAAGACAGACCCCTCACTTATAGGAAGAGATAATCACTTTATATCTTAGGAACTGGAAAAGGCTGAATTTAAATCTGCATAAATGGCAAGCCCTACCTTGCTGTGCCTTCAGGGTCCTTTATCTCTACCTGAAGATATTATAAGGTGGTAACTGGGTGCAACCCAGTGAGGTGGGACCCACATGGGTGACTTATTCAGTCTATTGGGTTTCTTCTATGTACAAAGGAGGTATACATGTCATTACCAAATGTTTTTCATTTTGTCACTTGTCACTCTGTTTGATGATGATTATTTGCAAGACTAGATACATCCAGAAAACTATGAGAAGACTTTCCCTGTATCCTTATAATATCAAGTAAGTTATATATAAGTATTCATTACTATTTTCTTTATATTATCACTTTCTCCTATTTGTTGGATTTGATCCCCAAATGGTTGTTTTCTCTTTGATAAAATTTAATTAGATGTTACATATTGATAAACTGAAAGTGTATTGTGCGGTGTAGAGTTGTTCTTATGAAAATGAAATTAAATGCTTTGTAAAGATTAGATAAAAGCAAGTTACCAAAATAGCTGTTAAATGGTGGGTATGGGAGGAGAACCATAAAAATTGAGTGTGCTTGTACACTGTTTACTTTTACACTCAGTTTGTTTTTAAAGTGTCTTTTTTACACTTCATATAAAATAAACTCCAAATAGGAATCAAAGACGATATAGATTATCAATGTGGAATAAAGCTGAAGCAGTACTCAATCAGAGGAGCCACAGCCAAATAAATGGCTTTGGTTTTGCAAATATATGGAGTTCATGAGAAGATAAAGTGTGTGTCTTTATGGTATTTCATTGGGGGAGAAAGTGGGTGTGTTCAATGCATCTGAATTAATTTAGAGATCTAGGTTTATTAAACAATTTATGAATCAAGTATCCTGTACTTAACTCTACAAGGAGTTAATATTCTTTATAATGGGAAAAAGGGAGGAACAGGGTCGTTAGTAAAATAAATAAAGGTAACTTTAAGGAAATACATGTACCCTCAGGTTTGGCTGGTGTATATTTCTTCACTAATACTGATGGAGAAATTCCAGACTGATTAAAAAATGACATTTTTGGGTGAGGTTGAAATTGCTAGTGTATTAGGTATTGAGTTTTGGTGGGAACAGCATGAACTGATTACATCTTGGCCCTGTTGTATCTTATGTTTAACAAGCATGTTGACTTAGAAAAATGTGGGTAAGCACTAACTGAGTTTATTAAACAGTTAATAATGAGGATTCAAATCTAGGAAGAAATTCAACAGATATTCCTTTTTTAGAACTGTTCCAACAAACAAATATTTGAATTTAGTTTATACAGGTACAAAAAGTAAGTCATTTTGCTCTTTTGCTTAGTGGTAAATTTTAACTGATATTTTTTAAAGAATTGTTTAAAGGTGACATCATTATAAGAACCCTAAATTTAGTTGTTTTCTTTTGTTTTCAATTAATCCAGCAGCTACAATCTTTCTCTGATCAAAAGAGAGGGCTCCACTATATAAAAAAATTCAGAGGGCACCAGAAAAAGACCAAGGAAAGAGTTAGGGCTGATTATGGAAAGGTGAACACAGATTTGCTGAGTTAATAAGAAGAAATAGAATTTGTTACCAAACTCAAGCCATTTGTTGCAGTCAATTGACTAGACCAGGTCAGAGATTCATGGTAAAAAACAGTTGTTCTTTGAATCATGTAATTCCAGAAGATATGGAGATCGTGCTCAATGCACCATGTCCTCTTTCAAAGAGAATTAAGAGCTTTATTCTGTTGTTGGTTTTTGGACAAAACAGGGACAGGATGGGATGTCTAGAATCTTGGTTTCACTGGCCCAATGTAATTTGGTACAAGGAAAACCAGGGGGAAAGTGGATGACCATTTGTAAGTCCTTAAAAATATAGAACAAGACCCCAAACCAGATTTACATCTGCCTTGTTAGAAGATGCATAAACTGAGTAGAGACCATGGTGCAAATAGGAATAAAAAATAGAAAGTAGCCTGCAGGTCCATTGTCACTCTGAATGGAGTTGGGTGAGCCATAGAAAGGAAGTATTTCTTTCAGTAATAATTTAGCAATCTCCAGAGCTCCTTCTGTCTTGTAGGAAATGGTCATTCCATGAATGTATCCACAAAAGCCAAAAGATATTTATTATTGCCAGTGGTTTTGGGCATTTGGATAAAACCTACCTGTCTTCAGAAGGGGACATGCCCCAATATTGAATCCCAGAATCTTTATGACAGTCGATCTTGGGCTTTTTCTTGGCACATAAATAGCAGATTTGATTGATAGGGTGAGTCCTTCTGTGTAAATTGGGGCTTTTTAAAAATGGGCCTGTGCATCTCTCCATAGTGGGGTTCTCTATAGAGCTATTTCATCATTTGGTACAACAGGGCTTCTGGAAAGCATATAATTCAGCTCAACCAATGAGAGGGTGCCACCACCCAACAAATGAAAAGCACTATGCTTCCAGCTCCCCATTTGCTCCAGGTGACTGTCCTGTTTTCTTCCTTAATTTAAAAAATGTCTTACATCATTGTTCCTTTGAAATCCCCATAATTGGTACTCCTTAAGAAATTATTTTTTAAGATTTTGTTTTATTTATGCTACCCAGAACTGAGTGCAAGACAGAGATGTGGGCAGTGAGAGGATTCACCAAAGTCAGAGTGGGGAGAAGAATAGAAGGATCTACTGAAATACACTGCTGTGGGGAGCAGCAGGCGAGACCAGAGAGCTCTGCTGTGCCATGTGGGTCACCTCCCTGGCGAGGGACAGAACTCATGCTGCGGTGGCTGCGGAGAACTTCTTAGTGCTCTTCTTGACCCCTTGTGCCACCAGGGAGGGCCTTTGACTCTCCTTAAATAGCTTCTCTCTACTGCTTCTTCCTTTTGTTCTGGGGTAAGTGAGAGTGTGAGACATGTTCCAAATTACATTTCATTGTTTCCAAATAAACCCCTTTTGCTAGCAAAATAATCGGCTGTTTTTTTTTTTTTTTTGAGGTCGCCATGAAAAATACCAGATACCTACATGTAAATCAAGTAAGACAAGGATACAAGGTATCTGTTGAATTTGGTAAATACATAGTAATTGGTGACTTGGGCCAGGGGAGATTTTTTCATACTAGTGAGATGGTTACCACCCCACTTTCTACAAGATCTTGAAGATATTCTTTTAAAAAAGTGTG